TTTTCATTTTTTACCACAGTTGTCCCACCCTTTTTAGGCACTACTTGCACAGGACTCACCCAAGAACTATCAGAGATAGGAAAAATAATACCTGCATCCAACCATTTGATCACCTCTTTTTTTAACCACCTCTTGCATCTTAGGATTAAGGCGTCTTTGAGGCTGAACAACCTTTAACTCCTTCAATTCTGCAGGAGCCATACGGTATGGTGCTTTGGAAACGGGTCCGGTGCTAGGAACAAGGTCAATATTAAATTCAACCTCTCAATCCGGAGGTAAACCTGGGAAATCCTTCGGAAATACATCTGGAAACTCACGCACCACCGGTATGTCTTCTAGTCTTGATGTCACACTACTAGCATCAGTAACAGAGACTAGGAAGCCCTGGCAACCATTTACAAGATATTTCTGAGCCTGCAAGGCAGACACTAACACGGGTAGAGCAAAAGAACCACTGCCTTGAAAACTAAATTCTGGCTCACCAGGAATATTAAAAATTACCCATTTCCGATGATAGTCTATAGAGGCAAAGTGTTTTGACAGCCAATCCATCCCCAAAATGATATCAAAGTCAGAGATATCTAAAACAAACAAACTAGCACTCAACTGTCTACCATCAACATAAATATCCACAGTTCTACACACCTCCCTAGTAGTCATCACCCCTCCTAAAGGGGTGTCCACATGCAGTTCACAATCAGAGGTATCAACAGGCAAGGCTCATTTCAAAACATAAGATCGAGCAATAAAAGAGTGCGACGCACCCGAATCAAATAAAACATGCGCATAATCAGAGTTAACAGGCAAGGTACCCGTGATTACGTCGGTAGCCGCAGCTTCCTTGTGAGTCATCACTTGCACTCTCGCCTGTTGGCCTTTTGTCCGAACCCCAATACTCTGTTTCTAGGCTCCCTGACTGGTAGAACTCTGCGGAGAGGTAGGCTGAGTACTCTGGGCTTTGGGGTCTAGCAGTGGACAATTTGCAATCCGGTGTCCCTGCTTGCCACATTTAAAGCAAGCCCCAGTAGCAATGTGGCATTGATCCCGGGTGTGCCCGACCTTCCCACAAGCATGGCAAGTAAGCTGAGCCGGACGAGCACGTTGGGCCGTTGATGCCTGACTCATTGTCTTGGTGGCTCCTGACCATTTAGAATCCTTGCTGATTTCAGACTTAGGCGGTGCAAGGAAATGGGATCAACGGCTCCCCTCGAATTTCCTCTTCCTAAGGGATGACCCACCACTAGGCTACCCTGAGGACTTGATTCTAGCCATAGCCTTCTCCTGATCTATGGCTCTGTCTGTAGCCTCTCGATAAGTGGCGGGTTTAAATTGGTTTACCGCCAAATAAATGTCAGAATTTAAGCCCCACAGAAATTTGTCGGCCTTGGCTTGCTCATCGCCGACTTGGCTACCCACAAAAGGCAGATAGCGGTCAAACTCCTCCTTGTACTACTCAACAGTACTTGACCTTTGCTTTAAATCTGCAAATTCTCTTTGCAGTTCTCGCCTTTTGCTGTCCGGTATGTACTCCTGCATGAACACCTTCTTAAAACCATCCCAGGTGCTCAATTCAGGCTCTCCTTGGTGCAGCTTCCGATAACTCTCTCACCAAGTTAATGCCTTCCCAGTAAGCATGTAGGTGCCTACATTGACCTTAAGGTCATCGGAAACATGCAGCAGGTAGAATCCTCGCTCCACCTCGGTAATCCATGATTCCACCTGCTCAAAACCTGCAGTACCATCGAATCCCTTGGTCATCATCAACTTCTGGAATTCTGTATAAATCTTCCAGCTAGGCACAGCAGGAGCAGAAGAGATAGGAACAGGGGAAACCGGAGCAGGGGCCACAGGAGTTGAGACCACCGGGGATGGAGGTGGTACACTTGTGGCAGGAGATACTTGGCGTCTTATCTCCGCCATAAGTTCCTGAACAAAACTGGCCACTTGAGGATTGCTCGCCCCTCTGTCCTGCGGAGCAGCTTAGGTGGGGGGGACTAGCTTCTGGGATTGGAGGCGTGCCTTGATCCATATGGCTACCCTTCGAGGGGTGTCCACGTTGTTTTGGAGCCATCTATAACCACATAGAAGGTTCATAGATTATTAATCAAATGCTCCAACGAGAAATTTCCCGGCAAGTTTCCACTTCCGGGACCAAGCAGCACAAAAGTATCAAAACAAAAGAAACCAACCCATATTAAGGAAGGAATCAAACAAGCGCCTTTAATCAACCCCACTCTCATACCTCACCACGTTCTTATCATTCATTACTAGCCAATTTCTAGACTAATCCTAGGCTCTTAAATTAACCTAGGCTCTGATACCACAAAATCTGTCACGCCCCAAAACCCAAATCCGGGGTCGTGGCAGACGCCGTGCACTCGTGAACGGGGCCCACAAATGCACAAAGCTCGAGACCTACTGAGTTCTTACTTAGCAATTCAGATTTAAGCCTTTTAATTTATCAAATAGTTACCAGTCGAATGTACAAAATTTATCACTTCATATATACAATCATGACTAACACTAATTTCTGTACACAAAATTTTCTATGTCAAGGATGGGTGACTAACGGCTTAGCTACAAGGTCTAAGTCCAAAAATGCCTAGCCGTCTAGCTCGTCACTCCCCCGGGCTTCCCACGCGTCAGGTTTCACTACCTGAAATGGTGGACAAGGAAACCGTGAGATAGAAATATCTCAGTAAGTAAACATGGGGGCCCGACATCAAAGTTTAAAGCATGCCAAATAATCGGTTGAAACATGAAAGAGC